GACCGGGTCAGGCACCCAGAAAGATAAGTATCCTGAAACAAACCCCTATTCTGGTGAAATTATTGCTACCAAAAGCCGAGCAAGTGGATAGAACGCCCCTAAAAGAAATGATCATGACGTTATACGTTGCCATGCCGCTGTCTGCACAGCTCCCCCCCCCCTCCCCGGGAGGGGGAAGAGCCAGCCCCAGACTCCTCACGCCGGCTATCCACCCGTCAGTTGTAAGGCTGATGCTAGAGGCTGAGGTCGTGTGCTCTGGCTCCGGTGGTTGTTTCAGCACTATACCTAGTGTGTGGTGACTCTTCTAGATGGTGTGTGAGCCGGGAGTGATTCTCCAGTACTCGGGCTGCATGCGCCTAGGGTTTCCTTCCCTAGGTGCCCTGCAAGTACTTCCCTTGGGGCTGCCTTCCACAAGTTCCTTGGGTTCTGCCCCTGCTAGGCTGTTTACCGCTTGGTTTTTGGCTGCCCTTTTTTGCTAGGGTGTTCCATCTCCCTTGTTCACCTTGGGGTAAGGGGCAATTTGCACTGGTAGGGGCGCAGGGTACTGCACAGCTTGTTTTCACCAATCATAGCAGCCAGCTCTGTTCCGCCTGGGTACTTTGTCCTCTTGTGGGGTTTTCTTTTTGTTTGTCTTCCTGGTGGAGGGGGGGGGGGGTCTGCCTTGGTTCTTGCCCCCTGTGTCCTGAGTACTCTTTCTTCTTCCGGTAGTTCCCCCTGCTAGGTCCCCGTGAGTGTACACGTCCCGAGGTTTAGCTCTTAGAAAATTGTTCGGTATTTATAGGTGTCGGTTAGCAGTACCCTGCCTGGGATTACCTGGGCGTGAGTCCCTGTAGGTAAACGCTCAGGACCCTGGGAATTCCCATGGGGGCGTGTGGGTCCGATGGATGTGGCCCCGGAGTCTCCCCTCACTTTGTGCGAGTTCGAGGGTTGCCCTGTCCCTCTTGTCTCAAGGCTACTCTCACTGTTTTGCCTCTGTCTGCTGCCTGTGGGGTCGGTGGTACCTTTGACTTGGAGTACTGCGAGTTTTGTTGCTTATTTCTGGCTCGATTACCGAGACTTATGCTGACTATGTGGGTGCAGGGAGCACGGGCATTGCAAGTTGAGTTTCAGTGGTGCAACGCGCTAGGTCGTTTGCTCCCCGGGAGCCCCGGGACTGTCCCGTTTTGGTTGGTGTGACGGGACTTTGGGGTGTTGGATGCTTTGGTTTTGGTTTTTCCACACCCCCTTGTCTTTTCCCTGTTATGGTACCCCCCCCCCTTTCCTCCCTGCATCTGGATCCTTATCGTTTGTGGATTCGGGGTCAGGGCGGGGCTTCACTGGTCTTGAGACTCGGGCGGTCTCGGAGATTTTTCCCTTCTGAGGTAATGACGGAGCCATTCAAGCCTGTTCCTCCAGCTGTGTTGTATGAGTCTGCTAATGGGCTTCCTTCCTTAGTACTTGTTCAGTTGCCCGGGCTTTTCCTGTAAGGCTGGAGCTTTGGGGAAATGGCTTGGCCCCGGGACCTGCCTTGTGGGTTCGAGGGGCTGACGTTTGGACCCCGCCTGGGTTTTTCTACCCTGTGGGTGGGGCTTGTGGTTATGAGGAGTGGGTTTTTTCTCTCCCCCCCCCCCCCCCCCCCCTCTCCGTACATGTTTTTGGGAGTCGGCTCCTGCCCTGGATCGGTTCCTTGTCCTTTGGCTCCGTCGGGTCCGTCCTGTCAGTGGGTATGTTTCTCCACCCATCTTCTTGGAACGGGCCTTCACAATCATGTTCCCCTCTTCTCGGGGATCTGCATATTTTTTGGTCTCGGGTGCAACTTTGCTTTCCGTGCCTTCGTGCTTCATGCTTGCTTCTTTATGTTCTAGAAGGATCGGGAAGATTTTAATTCTTCCCGTATTCTTGGAACGTCTGTCATCTTCCGGTCCTTTCTGGGGCTTGTTGGTCCTTCACCAAGCTTTTCAGTTTTCGATACAGTTATGTTCTTTAGTGTTTCTCTTATCTCCGTGCACTGTCTTGTGCTGCACAGGGTTGCCAGATTGGACTCCTTGTAGCACGGTTGGGCTCTTTGTAGCCCAAATGGGAAGCTGTGGTATGTTTATTTTCGCTCCTTCCTGTAAGCTCCTTCCATCTTTTCGACTTGGCGGCTGCCCTGTAATTACCTAAGTGTAGTTACACAACCCGTTCTCGCAAATTCGTAAAGTCAATATTGACTTATTAACTACGTGCATAGGTGATATACTAAACATAATAGATACCCTTAAAAAGATTCATAGAAAACACCGACCTTACCTAACCTTGTTAGTATCCTAAGATAAGCATCTTATTGCTTCGTAATTACAATTATTACTTAACCTATACCTATTATAGGTTAGGTAATAATTGTAATTACGAAGCTATAAGATGCTTATCTTAAGATACTAACAAGGTTAGGTAAGGTCGGTGTTTTCTATGAATCTTTTTAAGGGTATCTATTATGTTAAGTATGTCACCTATGCACATATTTAATAAGTCAATATTGACTTATTAAATTTGCGAGAACGGGTTGAGTTACAGGATGAGAGCTATGCTCGTGGTGTCCCGTCTACCCAGCACTGTCATATAACGCGTTAAAACTACTGACGGTTTTGGCCTGCGAAAGTGAATTTTCTTATTTCTTCGGTATCTTTGTTTAGTTAGTTTAAATCTATGACCTCTTGTTCTTGAAGTTTCAGGTCTCGGGAAATCTTCCCTGTCGATTTTATCAATTCCTGTTACTATTTTGTACGTAGTGATCATATCGCCTCTTTTTCTTCTGTCTTCTAGTTTTGGCATATTTAATGCCTCTAACCTCTCCTCGTAGCTCTTGCCCTTCAGTTCTGGGAGCCACTTAGTAGCATGTCTTTGTACCTTTTCCAGTTTGTTGATGTGATTCTTAAGATATGGGCACCACACAACTGCTGCATATTCTAGCTTTGGCCTAACAAAAGTCGTGAACAATTTCTTTAGTATTTCCCCATCCATGTATTTAAAAGCAATTCTGAAGTTAGAAAGTGTAGCATAGGCTCCTCGCACAATGTTCTTTATGTGGTCCTCAAGAGAGTTTTCTATCTAGAACCACCTCTATCAGAATTCTTTAAGGATTTCTCACATAATTTATTGGTTGTGTGGAGGTCTGTTCTCCTATTCCACATTCCATAACATGACATTTATTCACATTAAATTCCATTTGCCAAGTGGTGCTCCATATACTTTTGTCCAGGTCTTCCTGAAGGGCATGACAATCATCTAAGTTTCTTATCCTTCCTATTATCTTAGCATCATCACCATACATGTTCATATAATTCTGTATTCCAACTGGTAGATCATTTATGTAGACAATGAATATCACCGGTGCAAGAACTGAACCCTGTGGTACTCCATTTGTGACGTTTCTCCAGTCCGATACAATGCCTGTGATTACTGCCCTCATTTTTCTGTCAGAAATTTTTCCATCCATGTTAGAAGCTTACCTGTCACCCCCTCCAATATTTTCCAGTTTCCAGAACAACCTCCTATGTGGAACTCTGTCAAAAGCCTTTTTTAGGTCCAGATAGATGCAGTCAACCCAACCATCTCTGTCCTGTAAAATCTCTGTGGCTCTATCATAGAAACTGAGGAAATTCGATACACAGGATCTTCCAGATCGAAAATCATACTGTCTGTCTGATAATATATCATTTCTATCCAGGTGTTCTACAGATTTAGTTTTTATTATTTTTTTCCAATATTTTGACTATTACACTTGTCAATGATACAGGTCTATAATTGAGTGGGTCTTCCCTGCTTCCACTTTTGTAGATTGGAACTATGTTTGCCTGTTTCCAAACATCTACTACGACTCCTGTACACAGGGATGTCTGAAAAATTAGCCAAAGGGGTATGCTGAACTCAACTGCACATTCTCCTAGAACCCATGGTGAAACTCCATCTGGGCCAACTGATTTGTTCTTACTTAGCTCCAAGAGCATTTGTTTCACTTCGTCTCTAGACACCTCTATGTGCTCTGTTGTTCTCTGGAATTCTTATTGTGTCTGGTTCCCTGAAGATCTCATTTTGTACAAACACACTTTGGAACTTTTCGTTTAATGTTTCACACATTTTCTTTTAATTTTCTATGTATCTGTCCCCCATTTTCAACCTCTAAATATTATCCTTTACCTGCGGCTTGCTTTTTAATGAATTTACATTTCATTTCTGGATCTGATTGTTTTATTTCCTGGATCTGATTTACATTTGTCTGCTATACCGTTCTCAAAGTTCCTTTCTCCTTACTGATGTGTAGTTGTTTCTCGCATCTTTGTATCGCTGGTATGTTTGGGGGTTTGGCCTCTTCCTATAATTCCATGCCTGTGTCTTTTGATCTCTGGCCCTCTCGCAATTTCTGTTGAACCAATCCTGTTTCCTAGGCCTGCATCTGTTTTGGTATGAATGTTTGTGTGCCTTCATCATATATTTTGCAAAATATGGCATACATCTCATTTACTTCCTTACCTAGCAACAAGTCTGTCCAATTATACCCATGAAAAAAAATTCCAAGTTCCCCATAGCATCTTCTCTTGAAATCGAGTTTAACAACTGTTTCAGTGTCCTGTCATATAATGCTTTGAATGGTTCCACCTAGGTAGGTAGGTGGAACGTGATGCCCTCGCCATGGTCTCTGTTAGGTACTGAAGCCTGCAGACAATCGCGGCCTAAGCTGGATTTCTTTCCCAGGTGGCATCTGTTTACATTCGGGGTCGGCTTAACTATAGCTACCCCTATTCCTTTCGGGGCATTTAAAATCGTGCGCTAGACCCTCCATCATATATGTATGTATTACACAGTTTTGAGAAAGTTACTCGCATCGTATTTGTATGTATTGCGCGGTTTAAGGGTTAAGAAAAGAGGGTAAATTACATATAAATTAATATATTCTGTAATACAAGATGAATGATCAGCATTTATGTATCACATTTCTACTTGTTATGTTTGATGAATGTTTAAGTAATATTCCATTTTTACAGATTTCAAGAAAGACGATTTCGTTTGATTTACAAGAGTTATCAGGAAAAAGAATTTAATGATGCTGAAAAAGCTTTCAAAGATGCTTGCCAGAAACTAAATATGCAGGAGCCTTCTGTAAGTATTTTGCTATTAATGTATCAAGTTAACTTCACAGTACAGAATTTATTGTATCCTAACCTTTCCCTTGTCTTCTTTCATCAGTCATCTTTCAGAAAGTCATCTTTCATTTGTTTAATTTTACCCCCATTGTCTTCTAGATTATAATGTACTACATATTATATTTCCCAAATGACATGAGTGCTCTTACCCAGGGAAGGAGGTACTAAATGTAAAACGTTTCTTCTTTCCTGGTGAATATCAACTGCAGCATGATTGGAACATCCTCTTCCTCATTCTCATGGCCTGTTTTAACATTCATTTAAAAGCATGTGTGCAGTTGTGTATACACTATCCATGTCTAGATAGTGTGTTTTTTGTGAGTGTTTTATCATGGTAAATAATGTTCTCACATAAGTATTAATCATATTTCTCATTTCAGGTTGACTCTTGGCCCAGTCACCTGCCACACATGATGCACCATCACACCAGCGGCTCTGTTGCTCTGAATGGCATTGGGGTATAAATACTTTGTAGATTTATTATTTTCAATTTTTTTTATTTTTTAAAATTTGAGACAATCATTTATTTTAATGATTTTTTTTTATTTGGGACTGTTTTTGGTTGCAATTATCAATTAACTGCATTATAAAACTGGTTTACAAAATTGTATACTGTTGCATTGTAAATTAATTAAATGTTATGGTCCCTGAGTAATCAAGTGGATCATAATAGTTTTGTTATTTTCTTACGATTGCAAAATCAGAATCTGCTTTTTCTAGGATTATAATTTGCTTTTTATTTGAATTATAGTACAGTACTGTTATTTTTTAAATATAATATTTATATCTGTAGTACATTTTTCTTTTGTTTTATCCAAGATGCATATTTTCCTGTATTATCTCTCCAACTTGCAATAAAAATAACAAATCCAGCATTTAATATAATTTACACAACTTTCTGGTGGGTCCCTTCAGTAGTTCCCCATACAACCTGCCTGGCCAGCTCCAAGCATAAAGTACACCACCAGGCCCTTGTAATAAGTGTCTTCTGCAGGAATAGGTTAAAAATTTGGCTTCCTCAGTTGTGAGGATGTATGGAGATATAGGATCATCTCAGGCCAAAGGAGAAAACCACCAGAAAGGCACTGTGCCTAAAAACAAACCGCATGGTAACAGAGGCAACTTTGACAAACTATGACAACGCTGATTATCCAGAGCCAAAGTGTAGATAGATACTGATCATCAGGTGGCAGGCATGGCAACTTGTGCCCTTTGCTGGCTGCACACCTCGGTCATACCCAACCCAAGCCCTGAAACCCCTGGAATGAGGAAAAGGTAGGAGGTAGAAGGAAGACCTACCTACCTACCTACCTACCTCAAGAAGGTAGGAACAGGGAACCACCAAAAAAAAAAAGAGGCATATAATTATTTTCAACACTGCTTTTTTGGGATGGCTTCTCTTGATGGCTAAATGAGCTCTCACACTATGGAGAACAAGGAAAAGAGGGCTTACCAGGGCTAAGAGGTGCATCAAAGGGAAGCAGGGCCAGGACACACGTCATTAACCCCCAGTCAAAGGAACCAGGACAATACCCAAAGGAACCAGGACAATACCCAAAGTATGCCGGTCGGCCGAGCGGACAGCACGTTGGACTCGTGATCCTGTGGTCCTGGGTTCGATTCCAGGCGCCAGCGAGAAACAATGGGCAGAGTTTCTTTCACCCTATGCCCCTGTTACCTAGCAGTAAAATAGGTACCTGGGTGTTAGTCAGCTGTCACGGGCTGCTTCCTGGGGGTGGAGGCCTGGTCGAGGACCGGGCCGCGGGGACACTAAAAAGCCCCGAAATTATCTCAAGATAACCTCAAGATATCCCTCTGAAGCCCCACTGTTGCAACCAGAGCCAAGAAGGATGCATTGTGGACAAAGGAATTGACCCAAAGACAACCACCAGACTGAATGGGACAAACAAAAAGAAAGGAACATGATCTAAAGACCAGGAAGGCTCAGGAGGAGGAATAATTGACCAGAGATTAAAGACGGCACCAGATCACTTATAAAATGGCAAAGACATAAACCAAAGAAAGCAACAGTATTAGGCATCAGATGGTGGTCAACAAACAGCCTAGAATGAAAAGATAACCAGGACAGACACCAAATGCAAGTGACAAAGAATAATTAAAAACTGCCAGGCAATCCCCCCATACTGCCAGAGGGAAGAAAAACAAAAATGTAACTCCATCAGACATAACCTGGACATAATACAGATTGTTAAACCAGACTCATTACAAATGTGAAGATCAGCAGAGAACCTTGAACTATCGAGGAACATCAATAGCAGCATCTTCTGACCTGTCCTCTAAAACAAGTGGAGCTATGAAAAATGCACTGGCTCAAACACCAAGCTAGAAGAATTAGCCGAGCCATAGCCGAGCTGCCCACTATAGAGGCAAAAGACCACCTTACCAGTAAACCTTGCAGTTTTCAAAATGTCTGAAATGTCGGAAATTTGACTCCTGAGCGTGATTTTTTATCCGAATTCTGACTCTCTGCACCTATTTTCAGTTTCAAATTACGACTTTTTATACCGAAAATATGCCAATTACTGAAAACAGAGATGGTTCATATTTTGCCCAAACCCCCCTGCAGTTTTCAAAATGTCTGAAATGTCGGAAATTTGACTCCTGAGCGTGATTTTTTATCCGAATTCTGACTCTCTGCACCTATTTTCAGTTTCAAATTACGACGTTTCATACCGAAAATATGCCAATTACTGTAAATGGCGATGGGTCATATTTTGCCCAACCCCCCATGCAATTTTAAAAATGTCTGAAATGTCGAAAATTTGACTCCTGAGCGTGATTTTTTATCCGAATTCTGACTCTCTGCACCTATTTTCAGTTTAAAATTACGACGTTTCATACCGAAAATATGCCAATTACTGAAAACGGCGATGGGTCATATTTTGCCCAAACCCCCCTGCAGTTTTCAAAATGTCTGAAATGCCGGAAATTTGACCCCTGAGCGTGATTTTTGAGCCGAATTCTGACTCTCTGCACCTTTTTTCAGTTTCAAATTACGACGTTTCATACCGAAAATATGCCAATTACTGAAAACGGCGATGGGTCATATTTTGCACAAACCCCCCTGCAGTTTTTAAAATGTCTGAAATGTCGAAAATTTGACTCCTGAGCGTGATTTTTTATCCGAATTCTGACTCTCTGCACCTATTTTCAGTTTCAAATTACGACTTTTTATACCAAAAATATGCCAATTACTGAAAACGGCGATTGGTCATATTTTGCCCAAACCCCGCTGCAGTTTTCAAAATGTCTTTAATGTCGAATATTTGACTCCTGAGCGTGATTTTTTATCCGAATTCTGACTCTCTGCACCTATTTACAGTTTCAAATTACGAATTTTTATACCGAAAATATGCCAATTACTGAAAACGGCGATGGGTCATATTTTGCCCAAAGCCCCCTGCAGTTTTCAAAATGTCTGAAATGTCGGAAATTTGACTCCTGAGCGTGATTTTTGAGCCAAATTCTGACTCTCTGCACCTATTTTCAGTTTCAAATTACGACGTTTCATACCGAAAATATGCCAATTACTGTAAACGGCGATGGGTCATATTTTGCCCAAACCCCCCTGCAGTTTTCAAAATGTCTGAAATGTCGGAAATTTGACTCCTGAGCGTGATTTTTTATCCGAATTCTGACTCTGCACCTATTTTCAGTTTCAAATTACGAAGTTTCATACCGAAAATATGCCAATTACTGAAAACGGCGATGGGTCATATTTTGCCCAAACCCCCCTGCTGTTTTCAATGTCTGAAATGTCGGAAATTTGACTCCTAAGCGTGATTTTCGAGCCAAATTCTGACTCTCTGCACCTATTTTCAGTTTCAAATTACGACGTTTCATACCGAAAATATGCCAATTACTGTAAACGGCGATGGGTCGATCATATTTTGCCCAAACCCCCCTGCAGTTTTCAAATTGTCTGAAATGTCGGAAATTTGACTCCTGAGCGTGATTTTTTATCCGAATTCTGACTCTGCACCTTTTTTCAGTTTCAAATTACGACTTTTTATACCGAAAATATGCTAATTACTGAAAACAGCGATGGTTCATATTTTGCCCAAACCCCCCTGCAGTTTTCAAAATGTCTGAAATGTCGGAAATTTGACTCCTGAGCGTGATTTTTTATCCGAATTCTGACTTTCTGCACCTATTTTCAGTTTCAAATTACGATTTTTTATACCGAAATGAAGCCAATTACTGAAAACGGCAATGGGTCATATTTTGCCAAAACCCCCCTGCAGTTTTCAAAATGTCTGGAATGTCGGAAATTTGACTCCTGAGCGTGATTTTTGAGCCGAATTCTGACTCTCTGCACCTATTTTCAGTTTCAAATTACGACGTTTCATACCGAAAATATGCCCATTACTGAAAACGGCGATGGGTCATATTTTGCACAAACCCCCCTGCACTTTTTAAAATGTCTGAAATGCCGGAAATTTGACTCCTGAGCATGATTTTTGAGCCGAATTCTGACTCTCTGCACCTATTTTCAGTTTCAAATTACGATGTTTCATACCGAAAATATGCCAATTACTCTAAACGGCGATGGGTCATATTTTGCCCAAACCCCCCCTGCAGTTTTTAAAATGTCTGAAATGTCGGAAATTTGTCTCCTGAGCGTGATTTTTTATCCGAATTCTGACTCTGCACCTATTTTCAGTTTCAAATTACGACTTTTTATACCGAAAATATGCCAATTACTGAAAACGGCGATTGGTCATATTTTGCCCAAACCCCGCTGCAGTTTTCAAAATGTCTGTAATGTCGAAAATTTGACTCCTGAGCGTGATTTTTGAGCCGAATTCTGACTCTGCACCTATTTTCAGTTTCAAATTACGACGTTTCATACCGAAAATATGCCAATTACTGTAAACGGCGATGGGTCATATTTTGCCCAAACCCCCCTGCAGTTTTCAAAATGTCTGAAATGTCGGAAATTTGACTCCTGAGCGTGATTTTTTATCCGAATTCTGACTCTCTGCACCTATTTTCAGTTTCAAATTACGACGTTTCATACCGAAAATATGCCAATTACTGAAAACGGCAATGGGTCATATTTTGCCCAAACCCCCCTGCAGTTTTCAAAATGTCTGAAATGTCGGAAATTTGACTCCTGAGCGTGATTTTTTATCCGAATTCTGACTCTCTGCACCTATTTTCAGTTTAAAATTACGACTTTTATACCGAAAATATGCCAATTACTGAAAACGGCGATGGGTCATATTTTGCCCAAACCCCCCTGCAGTTTTCAAAATGTCTGAAATGTCGGAAATTTGACTCCTGAGCGTGATTTTTGAGCTGAATTCTGACTCTCTGCACCTATTTTCAGTTTTAAATTACGACGTTTCATACCGAAAATATGCCAATTACTGTAAACGGCGATGGGTCATATTTTGCCCAAACCCCTCTGCAGTTTTCAAAATGTCTGAAATGTCGGAAATTTGACTCCTGAGCGTGATTTTTGAGCTGAATTCTGACTCTCTGCACCTATTTTCAGTTTTAAATTACGACGTTTCATACCGAAAATATGCCAATTACTGAAAACGGCGATGGGTCATATTTTGCCCAAACCCCCTTGCAGTTTTTAAAATGTCTGATATGTCGGAAATTTGACTCCTGAGCGTGATTTTTGAGCCGAATTCTGACTCTCTGCACCTATTTTCAGTTTCAAATTACGACGTTTCATACCGAAAATATGCCAATTACTGTAAACGGCGATGGGTCATATTTTGCCCAAACCCCCCAGCAGTTTTCAAAATGTCTGAAATGTCGGAAATTTGACTCCTGAGTGTGATTTTTTATCCGAGTTCTGACTCTCTGCACCTATTTTCAGTTTCAAATTACGACT